GTAAAAGTACTGCTACTGTCAGTAAAAGTACTGCTACTGTCAGTAAAAGTACTGCTACTGTCAGTAAAAGTACTGCTAGGAGCAGAAAAAAAGGAAAATTTGAGAGGGTTTTCGACGATAAAGTACTGCTACTGTCAGTAAAAGTACTGCTACTGTCAGTAAAAGTACTGCTACTGTCAGAAAAAGTACTGCTACTGTCAGTAAAAGTACTGCTACTGTCAGAAAAAGTACTGCTACTGTCAGTAAAAGTACTGCTACTGACAGTAGCAGTACTGCTAGTAGCAGAGATTTTTATCGTTGTGGTCCGACGGTTAAGCCACAAACGAATGTCCGACGTCCCACCAACCGAGTCCATTCCCAAACCAGAAGAACCTAAAGCACCAGCCCCTGCACCTCAGTTCCAGCAAGTACCTCCACCAAATTACTACCAATTTCCACCTCAAGGTTACTACCAATTTCCACTACAAGGCTTCCCGAACTACCCTCCTCAGCCTATGCCTTACTTCCCCAACCCTTGGATGTTCCAGCAAGCTCCACCCCAGCAATTCCAATTCCAATCTCAGTCCAAGAGAGACCAAGACTTCGAAGAAGGTCTGAACCGCTTACGCAAAGAGTATGCTACAGCTCCTATGGAAGACGACAGGCTTTCAGTCTCTTCCCTCAAATCGACCGATTCGACTCGTACCACAGATTCGGTTCGTGACCGTGAAGACTACCTCAAGCAGTCTGAGAGACTCTTCATCCTACAATCATTTACAACTGGAGCTCTCAAGAACATGCGCAATTACGAAGGTCAGACACCAGCTGGAGACCGCAAAACAGACGTACTCGCAAGAGCCGTCCAACTGGTCAAGACAAAGACTGAGATAGTCGACTTCATTCTTGCAGCTTGCCCATACAAGTAAAAAAATAAACAATTACGAGTTAAACTTTTTATTCTTTCTTTTCTGAGTTGTTTAGAGCTGGTTTCTCTTGTAGGAACCTTTCGTACTCTTCCATGGTCATGTAATTGCGAATTTGGTACGCAATTCCAGGTTCGTTGTTTTTGAACCTTACGTATGTAACGCTTCCATCCTCCTCAGGGAAGTAAGCTGCTAACATCTGACCAAGTTTTCTCGGTGACTCGGAGCTCATAAAAATGTCACTTTTTAAACGTTAAGTTTTTAGTCTTAATTTACCCTTTGTTAGTTAGTATACATATCACGTGTACGGAGGCACTGCGCGCCTCCTTACTCCTGATATGTGAATTTGACACTTTACAAAACCGTTAACGTATATTTTACAACACAAACGACAACACTAACTTAACCTTAAATATTTATAAAGCCGCCAACCACTTCACCTCACTAACGTTTTCACTAACGAACTCACCAATGTAAAAATAAACGTTCTCACTTACAAAAGTATTGCAACTCCTCCCATTGCTGTGCTTCATATAACAGCTCATAATCTTCTGACTCACTTTCTTCTTCATATAGGTCAAAATCACTGTCATAGTTTATACCTGTAAGTTTTGACAAAGCTAATGAAACACGCTTACCGTTTGTATCTATTGCTTGTATAAACTTTCCATTATGCTTGTAGTCATAAACGCTCAAACTAACTTTACCCTTTCTCCCTCGTATCTGATAGAATGTATTTTCACGAGGAACGAAGAACAAATTCTTGAACTCATGACCGTTGTAGTTTGTTATCTCAATAGTTTTCGTCATTACATCCAAAATAAAATAAAAAATTATATAAAAATAAAATAAAAAATTAATGATATCACCACCCTCACACGTATGAAAACATAGCACAAAAATAAATTTAGGTGAAGAGGTGAGATCTCACCTCTTTTTTCACCTCTTTTTTCACCCTGTTGAATTCATTGCTTTATCCAACTCTTCTAACTTCTTCTTAAGTTCAGCAATGTTGTCCTCATGAAGTTTAATCTTTCTCAAAATTCCTTCTCTATCTAATGGTTGCTTTATCTTTCTAAACTGAACTCTACCGTCCTTCATAGTATGAACGTAAAAACCTTCTGGAATAGTTCCTGATTTAATGTATTCTACCAAAAACTTTTGTTTCATTGCTTCAGTGACTTTATTTGTCATTTCAATCAAATAAAAATTTTAATATTAAATAAAAATAACGTTATTTTTTCAGTAAGGAAACGCAGGAGTTTTACGATTTATTTGAGGAGTAGGTTCTGGTTTAAATGTTGGAGTCGGTTTAGGAGTTGACTTTTGAACAGGAGTTTGTACTTCCATAGGTTCAGGAGTCATTGAAGGTTTTGCTTGTGAAGGTGTTGGTTTTGGCGAAGGTGTTGGAGTTTGTTTAACTTCAACTACTTCAGTATTATTTACAACATTTGCTTTATTTCTTTTCAACATCATAACTGCTCCTGCTGTAGCTAGCAAACATAGTGGGAGACCATATTTTATATAAGGACTTGACCAAATGCTATTTTTGACAGGAGCTGGTGGAACACCTAACCTTGGTGAAACTGCTCTTTGCCATTGTGCAGCTCGTAAGAAATATTCTATAGGTGCTCCATAATCGTTTGGTAAAGTTTGTTTCATAGATGGTGAAGGTTCACGAGAGCTTGATGAAGAACTCATTTATAAGCTTTAAAAATAAACGTTCATCCTTTATTCCTCACTGTCGTCCGTAGCTAAGTTATAGTCATCTAATCTTATTATTGGGATTCCATTAGCACGCACCTGAATGGCAAAGCAACAATCCCTCATAAATCCAATAAGTGGCTTTGGTACATTTTCAGTTGCTAGTTCAATAGGTCCTTTAACAGACAATTTGTATGTTATTGGAGCAGTAGATGTTTGACCTTGCTGGAAGCAAAAGTCCACTTCTGTTGGAAAACCACATAAGAAATGTGTGTTGTCATAGCTATCCCATTTATGTTCCACACTACCATCATCCACCAATGACCTCATAACATCTTCATTAAATCCTATCATATCATTGTTTGTATTGCAGGCGTTCGCAACCATTTCATAAAATACAGGTCCATATGATTTTTCAGGTTCTGCAGGCATATTTCCATAAGCTCCCATGGAAAGCTGAAGATATTTAAACTTAGGGTTCTCAAAATTAACATAATAGTTGTCTTTCTTTCTAAATAGCGCCCAAATACTTTTAACATTAATAGGTGTATAAGCTGCTGTAAATGTTGCACTTGAACTATCTGTATTCTTTGAGAATGAACCGTCCATAGGAATCCAATCCATAACTTTAACAGGAAAACATAAAGCCTCGTTTGTATAATGTTCTACAAGTTCTGTATAAATGTTAGGGTCTAAAGAGAATGACTTTGGATGAATGAAACATTCATTAAAATCCATCTTTGTTCGAAATAGTTGCTGGGTTACAGTTGTAATAGTAACTGTTCCACTAGCTTCTACTGCCTTCGTTATCATAGTGAATGGTTCATTCCATGGAACAAATTTATTTGTCGGTGGATTTGAATCTGAAGCAAATGCAACTTTAAGAGTTGGATTGAAAGCAATGATATCATTTACAGATATAGATGTGCATTGTAAGGCGTCGCTACTGAACTTTACTTTAAGCTGAATGTTTCCTGCAAAAGCTGGAATAAATCGAATAGCTTCTAATGGAAGGAATCTTCTAACAGGAATTCTTAAACGAAGCTTAAAATCAAATGATTTTCCTGCTGTAATTGGACCACTAACAATTTGTCCTGTTCTGCATGTTCCCGAATGACTCCATACATCTTCATGTCGAGTCTTTGAGAAAACATCTACTTTCTTTATTTGTTCGGTAGTTTGTGAGTTTGAAGTTATATATGCTTCTTCTCTTGCGTTGTCTTGAGAATATACGATACGACCATTTGCAAGAATTTGATATCCAGCAACTGCATAGAAAGCGTCATCAAAACCAATCCAAAATCCTGGTGGGTTTGTTTTATTGGAACCTGAACCAATTTCTTTATCTACAATAAATTGACCTTCCATTTTATACGTAATGAATGTATTGTAAAGGTCCAACATATTTTCACCAGGAGGTGAGAGATTGAATGTTACCCATGTGTTATCTTTAGCAGTTCCAGGTTGTGATGGAATCTTTGCGTCAGAATATTTTCTATTAGTGTCACCAATTTGAACTGCATTGTCTATGATATCGAAATATGAGCGAATCTGATGAATATGCTCTGCTGGAGTAAATTCGTTTAGCTGTTCGTTCTGCATGTATTTACTTCAGATAAAAATATCTATTTACTTCATTATTCTCACTCTTCTTCTTGGCATTCGTGGTGGAAGTTGTTTCTTGACATTTTCAATGAACTGTACATTCTCTTTTGTCTCAACTTCTTTCACTGGCGGGTCAGGATTCTTTGACTCGGTTTGTTTTTCAATGAAATTCACGAACTTTGCAATAAGCTCTTGGTTCGTTATTGAAAGTACATCTGGCTTCTTTTCTTCTGGTTCTATTGACTTTTCAGTTTGAACAGAAGGTTTTATATGGGCTTCGTGGACTTCACCCTTGCCATACACCTTAATGTTGTCGCTTTCTGCATTCGCTAATGGAACCTTTCTTTTTCTTACGTATATTTTACCATCTTTACTCTGACTTACGTAATAGAAAGGATGTTGTATTCCTCTTGCGTCATTTAATATAATAGACTCTCGCTCTGATTTTGACAAGCTCATTTTACATCGGTTAAAGTTTTAATTTTGTTTTTTATCTGCAGTCAAATGACTCAGACAAGTCCTACGGACAAGACCCAAGGGGTCATAGATGTTGAAGCATTGAAGAAAGAAATTCGTGAGCAAATTTTATCCGAACTGAAGGAACAAAAACAAAAACAAAAGCCAGAGAGACCAAAGAGAAAACTTAGTGAAAAACAACTTGCTGCATTAGCTGCTGGAAGACAAAAGAACCCAAGACTACTGGCGAAGAAAGCTAGAGAAGAAGCTGAAGCAAAAGCTAAAGAAGCTGAAGCAAAGAAAGAGTAAATGGTTTATTTTTATCCGAATTAAATGTATAGACAAATACCTTTATCTGTTGCGTTCAGTAGTGAAAACCCTGACGTCAAAATAAAGGGGAACAGAGTAACGTTTAAGTTTCCAACAGACTGGATTGTGAACATAAATGAAGAGAAGTACATTGGCATAACATCTATGTATATAACACGTGCTTTCAGAAAGGTTGACTTTATACTTCAAGTCGAGATAGAAAATGACGAACAGTCTTTAAGCGCCCAAAACATTCACATATACAAATACTTTAAAGACGATACAACATTGTTGCAATGTATGATTTCATTTAATGAGATGTTCGAGAAAAAGTTTAACATTGAAGTACAAACTTTACAGCCTTTACGTGAGTTTCTTGCACAACTGAAAGAAGAAGGTAGTCAGCCACAACTTATAGACTTTCATTATGAATTTAATGAAAATGAAGATGGAACTCATGACTGTCAGTTTGTTGTATTCTCACCATTCAATGAAGTCGCTAAAAAGAAAGAAAATCCATTACGTATAAGATTTCAAATCTCTGAACCAAGTGATGATTTCAAGAATGTTTTCAATTATGATGCAATGCTTCCGAGGAAAAATGAATTTTCAAAGATTGTAACACCTGGCATTTGGGATAGAAAGCAAGCTATATTATATTCAAACTTAAGTAAGGGAGTTGAAAATGAGTTCATTGGTCATACAAGAACTTCACCACTTCCTAACCCTAAATACTATAAATTAACTGGCTTCAATCGTGAGTTTTGGATAGACATGTTCTCCACTCATGACCATAACTGCCCAGTGTTCTTACCTCCAGACCATAAGGACTGTCTCTACATTGAAGCACAACTCTTAAACTCTACCATCGCAGTATTGTAAAATCTACGCTAGTTTTATTTTTTCTGAAAATTTTTATTTGAGTGAAAGGCATGGAAGGTGAAGGACATTGGCAAACACTCGAACATGACAATGACTATGAAATCTTTTCAGAGTACCCATATCCAATTAGGCGCATAAGTAACAAAAGAGTTGTAAGTGAGTTTGACAACGGTGATGGTTATATTTGTGTTTATTTAAACAAACATAAACTCTTTAAGCATAAAATTGTTGCAAATCAATTTATACCGAATCCTGAAGGACTTCGAGAAGTAGACCATATAAACAGAGACAGAGGAGACTTTCATATCTCAAACTTAAGGTGGGTGTCGAGAAGACAAAACATGAGAAATATTTCTGGTTCGAATGGCTATTGGTTTGACATTGTAGACACTCTTCCTGAAGATGCTGTTGAAATTATACAATACTCTAAATTTACTCTAGAAAATTACTACTATGTCCCAAGTGAAGATGTCTTTTACTATTTCATGGGAACTCAATACAGACGAATGAATGTCTTAAGACAGTATAGCAAAGATTATATAAACATTACAGATGTAGAAGGAAGAAGAACAAAGCTGTCTATTGCAAAGTTTAAGAGAGACAATGGTTATACATAAATGACAAAAATATATGACCTCATTATTTTTATCACGAATGACCTCATTGCTGACAAAAATAAATGACCTCAGAACTTCAACTTACGAATAAAGCTTGTTTTAGTCGTTATTGAGAAGTTAAACTTTTCAGCAAAGCAAGGACTAGAAGACTTACATAAGTCAAATCCAATCTCTTGACCATCATGAAGTGCTTTGTAAAGTTTCATTAAACTGAACTCAGAGTCTTTGTCATATGTTCCAACAGGTATGTGAATGTTCTTATCTTCATTGTAATAGCATTGTATAGCTTCAGGAAACATTTCATTAGCTGTTAAAGCAAGAACGTCTTGTTTTACACCTTTACAACGTGCATGAAATGCAACTTCATTTAAATCGTTCGTGAGTAAGTCTATGTAAGTCTTCTTTCCACAAAATATTGACTTGTATGCTAAACTTTGTTTTCCAGGTGTTATTTCTGCGAAGTCAGAATGGAACTGACCTAATGTTTTACCAATAAGTTCTCTACCGTATCTCTTCTTAAACTCTGCTGCAAGCTTTGGTATGTCTTCATTGAAAATATGCATGCTATCACAGTCCTGGTAAAATATTTGAAGTCCCATATCTTCAGCAGTACAGAATACTTCACACATTATTCTCTTCGACATAGACAGAATGTTAACACCAAGTGGACAGAAGTTAAAGTGTCTGCAAATGCTTTTCGTTAGCTTGAAAATAGTTTTATCTGAACCATCCAAACCTTCGAACTTCACTATATGGTTGTAGTTTCTGATGGCATATCTTATAGCATCTTTGTCATTTACTATGGTTATTTTTGACTCAATAGGAGATAGAATAGTTTTGCCATAAATACTGTTCAGAATGAGCTTTATATTTTCTTGCAAAGGATTTCCTTCTTTCTTATACTTTAACCTTAACTCAAACAACTTCTTTACTTCATCTCTTATTCTAATATCTCTGTTTCCATCGTAATAGTATCCTTGCAACACTTCACATTTGACACCTTGATATTTTATGAGGTCTTGTAATGTTATATGGTCAACATACATTAAACAGCAAGTGTTTGAACTTCTGGGAACGTTAAGTTCTGGATTTAGTTCAGGGTCACAAACTATTAAAGGAAAGTGTCTATGTATTCCAATCTCTGTTATCTTAATGAGAACAAAGAAGCCAGACATAAACTTTTCACCAATGGGTTCCTTTTGGTCGTCATCGAATAAATGTCTCATGAGATACTCTGTGCTTAACATTTCTTTCTTCATAACCTTTGGAATACCTTCTAAAGTATAAAGTCTTGCTATAGCTGATGGATATAATGAAACAGCGTCGAAGTCAGCAATGAGTTTCTTTTCGCTCTTTTGTTTCATGTTATCTGACAACATACATCTTCCACCTTGAATGCATCTCGAAATAAATTCTCTTGGTTTATTTGAGAGGTCATATAAATTTCCATTCGGGAAGTACACTCTGTTCTCAAAAATTTGTTAGCAATAGAACAAATACTAACGTAGTCATAAACGTTTAAATCAAATTCTTTCAATATGTCATTGCGGAACTTAACAAAACCTTCTCTTAAAATTCTTACATCTTGTTTGCAATAAAATGTGCTATACTTTTCTAAGTCGAAGTGGTTCTCATCTATTCTGCAACCTTTGATGGAATCTATGTTTTTCATGAATGTATCTGCATCCCGGATAAACTTACATGCTTCAGAAATGACACCAGTTCTGTTGTCATTTGCTAACAAAACACTGCTGTAGTAGTTGTATGGAAATACTTCTTTCGGTCCTGTTTGTAAGTTAAACATAGCAGGAAATAGTTTAAGCTTCTTATTTATAACACTGTAAGAGTCTTTTATAATAATTGCCCTTCCTTTATATAAGCCAGTTATTTGCATTGTTCGTGAACCTTTAATGATGGGAGTTCCTTTCACTTCTGTCATGTGTCTTAAGATGAAGTTTATATCATAACTGAGGTTATGGAAATATATTAAACTCTTGTCAGGAAGTCGCTCCAAAAATTCTGTTGCACAGTTCTGACCCCAAATGCTTTCACTCACTGAACCATCTTCACTGTCATAACAGATGTTAAAAGCTTTATGAAAGCCATCGTGCTACACTCAAAGTCAGCAAAGAAAACGTGCTCAGGAATGAACTTGCACTTATTTTTATTTACTTCTTTTGACTCGCTTTCTTCTTCAGTTGTACACAATACTTTGGAGCATATGTCAAATCTTTAAATGGTGCAAGGTTCTGTTTATATAAGTCAGTCGTATATGTGAAAAGTTCTCCATAAGAAATAGGTTCGAAATATTTGCACTCCCACAATGTTTTCATAACATCCCATAACGGTGTTGTTCTATCATAACGAACTACATATTTATTCTCTCTCTTTGTATAAATCTTCATCTGTTTCTCAATGTTCATTCCACCACACTTTCAAGATTTCTATATAGTTGCGAATGAAATATGTTGTCATTGGTAATCTTTCATTTAGCATGTAGTGGTCTTCAACAAGAAGTAAGTCAATAGTTCGAACAGTTTCACATTCTTTTGGTATGTATCTCTTTATTTCATTATGTCTTGAGTCATTGAAATAACCAATGGTAACATTAAATGCTATACCTGTTGCGTCAGAAATTTCTTGTACTTTACTTTGAGGAAAGTCTCTAACACGAATGACTTCTCTCATGTGGTCAATAGTTTCTTCATTTACTCCAGCCTGAATGCAAGCATAAACGAAACAATTGTCTTCTGTCATAAGTGTTGCAGTTCTTTTGTTCAGTTCATTGAAGATTTGGTAGCGTTCAAGATTTATAGGTAATGTGCAAAGATACTTCCAGAACTGACCGCTTCTCTTCTTATAAAACTTCTTTTCACCATTATCTTTCCAAAAGCTTTCTATAAGTGCTGGGTTTCCTGTTTGCTTAAGAGCTTCCAAAATGGCTTTCTGGTCATTTGTCAGTGTGCTTTCATCTCTATATGGTCTCTTTTTTGGTTTGCCTTTCTTTACATCTGACATCGTTAAGCCTTCATATTCTGTTAAATCATACATCTTTATTTCGGTAAGATTCTTTATGTTTGTCAAGAAGAAGTCATAGTGCATTTCAACAATACCTGCAGCATTTGCTTCTATCTCTGATATAAAGTTCTCCTTCAAGAGCTGATGTAGTAATGTTCCAATATTATTGAGGTTTAACGTAGAACATTCATACTTTCCACCAAGTTTATAACATACCATCCATCTCTGTTGTGAGTTTATTTTAATTTTCTCTAAGAGTCTCATGAAAACCTTACCGAAATGTTTGTGTAAGTAGTCTCTGTTTGGTTCATCTAAAGCTTCGATGTTAAAGTCAATGAGTCTATTGCCTGACTTCACATTTCTCTTCCTATTCTCTTCATCTTTCTTTAACCATCTCTCACCTTCTTTTGGTTTGTCGTCAATGGAACGAATGACATCGTTAGCTTTGCGAACTTGTTCTATAGCACTTTTAAACATCTCTCTTCTCTGTTGTTTCAGTGTGTCGTCTCTTCTTCTTGTTTCACCAACGTTTGCATTTGTTATGTCAAACATCTCTTGACGAACATCATGCGAAAGAGCTTTACGAGTATGACCAACGTCGCATTTGTTATGTCAAACATTTCTCTTCTTACTTCATGAGGTACTGAACGTCTATGATATAAGTCAATAGCAACGTCATTTAAAGGAAATGCTCTTGCATGGACTTCGTCCTCGCCGCGTTGCGGCTTTATGAACTCATGAATTCTATCATAACTTATTGCACCATTGTAGTCATTGAGGATGTCAGCGAGTGCCTTTTTGTTTGTTGCGTAATGCTTTGCAACATCTATATTAGCTTCTGTAAGAAGTTGTTTTATTTCCGAGTGTTCTAACTTAGACAACTTCCGATACATCTTTAGTAGGAAATAAAAAAATTTTTAGAAAAAATTAGCTTAGATTTTTTAAGGCTTAGTTTTTCAAAAATTTTAATTTTTATTAATGAAACACATGCAAGATTGCAAGTTCTTTTCATACAATGCTCTCGCTACTGCCATCAAGAATGAGTTCAATAATGCTTCAAATGTTAATGTTATCTTTAACAAGAAGTTTGTGAAAGAATCTAAGTTTGGTCAGTATGTCAGACCATTAGCTATCGTCATTGACCGCAAACGTTATACTTCACAAGAGTTAGCAGTAGTTTTGAAACAAAAGAGTTTCTTCGTGAATGTCAAAGATACTCATTATACTGTCATAAAGAACTCTAACATTGACTTCTTCAGTATTGCTATGAATCTTTCCGAACAGAAAGAATATAAGAAGGGTGAAACAAATGTGAAATATTATCCTTCATCTCTGAAGACAATAACGAACAAAGATGTTATACAGAAATTCTACCAAAGGTTGAAGAAGCTTCTATTGACATTGACGAAGGAAGTGAAATGGTTGAAGAAATTGACCCTGACGTCATTTAAGCAAAAATATATTTTTGGTTAGTCTTCATATCGATATTTTACAACAATTCCCCAATGTATAAACTTTTCATACGCTTTTTCATAAGCTTTATATACCTTCAGAAATTTTGCATAATCTTTAGAAGCATTTAGATATTGTTTAAATGCTTTGTATGTCTTCAGAAATTTTGCATAATCTTTTACATGTTGTTCGTTCTCTTCTTCTGTCATGAGTTCCGAATATTCTAAATTCATGTTCTTTCATATGAGATAAAATTTTATAAAAAAATAAAATTAGCTTAGATTTTTTTATTCTTCCTCTTTGAAGTTGTCGAAATATTCTGTTATCTTTTCCTTCAGTAGCGGTAAGTCTTCTTTGAAGGTAAGTATTGTACAACCTTTCATATCATAGTGTGTTTGAGGAAGAGTATTTTTGACAATTTCCTTTATTTGCTCATTCGGTGTCATTGAAATCGGTAAGTTTTCACGATAGAACCAGTTTCTGTCAGATTTATATATTTTAGCTAAGTCATAAAAGCTTTTGTTGTTTCTTCTGACTAAATGCAACATAACCATATCTCTATCTTCTTCTTTCTCCATCTCTTCAGTATAAATCATATACTTATAGTTCTTTTCCTTTCCTTTTGGTACCGAACGTGGTATTCTTTTCTGAATGCTTTTGTCTTTTGCTTCAAGCTTGTTCTCTAGCTCTTCACGTTCTTGTCTATGAATTTCGTCAAGAAGTCTGTAAATATTCCAAGCATAACGAGGCGAAGCCCACATTGCAACAGCATTTACAAGAAGTCTATGTACATAATATCCTCTCAAACCGTTTGGCAATTTTTCACGATTTTCATAGAGTTTTGGCGACCAGGGTTTTTTCCCTACTCGCTGTTCTTCACTGTTTTCATGAGTTTTAGGCGACTGCGGTTTTTTACTTACTCGAGTTTTTGCGACTACGAGAAAATCCGTAGTCGAATTTTCAGCTTCATTTAATAGTTCAATAGTGCTTTGGTTCCTAAACCAGTCTTGTGGTTTCTTAGTATCTGGAGCAAAACATGCTGTCAAAATACTTTGCATTTGGTACATATCGTCTTTGACCGAACGAATGAGACGGAGTTGTTTGTTAAACTGTATGTACTCATATTCTTCATTTATAGCTTCATGGACTATAACTGTTGTTGTGTTCTCTGTTGTTGACATATCTGTCTTTACATACAAAATAAAAAAATAAATAAAAATAAAACTAACTTTATTTTCTGACTTTCACAAAAGACCAAAAATAAACGCTTTACATGTATTTTTCAGCAACTTCGTCAAATAATTTTATAGCTTTATCTATCTCATCTACTTCAAACGTTTCCTTACCTTTCGTGGGAGCACCATACATTTTCTCAAACTTTTCAAGTAGTTCTGTTTCTGCAGCTCTCATATCATTAACAAACACAACCTTGACTCTATTGACTGTACTGTCATATCTTTGAGTTATATTATATGTTCTTCCTATCTTATATCTTTTTGTATTGAAGTCCTTCGGTTTCTGAACGATATAAAGTAAGCCTTCACTGCAACGTTCCGTATCGAATGAACCATAAGTTATGAAGTTATATCCAACAACTGGGTCAATCCATAACAAAACTATTGGTATAAGACTTTTGTCTATAAGATATGCTCTTTTTCCATAGAATCTTACCGATATCATAAGCTCAGGATTTCTTGTCAAAATTTTCTGAGTAGAAGCATTTATAACCCAGTGGTTTGTTTGCTTTCCAGATGGAGATAAAATGTCTGACAAAGAATATTTGTTGTATTTCTTTGAGTATCTTACGTTTAAATCACCTATTCTAACCACTTTGGTGTCATTGTCTATCTTTCTAACTGTTTCAAACTCAATGTTTGACATTTTTGTTCTTACATACAAAATAAAAAAAAATATTTTATAAAAAACTAACTTTATTTTTTTATTTCGGGAAAATTCATGAAAATTGTTGCTGAATTCAGCAAAAATAATGTTTAGGGTAGAATGTGAGATCTAACCTCTTTTCTACCCTCTTGAATTTGTCAAGACTTCTTCGTAAATGTTTTGTCAAGACTTCTTCGTAAATGTTTTGTCAAGACTTCTTCGTAATGAGCGTAAATCAGACAAAAATAATGTTTAGGTGAAGAGGTGAGATCTCACCTGTTTTCTCACCTCTTTTCTCACCTGTTTTTTTTATAAGCGTTTTACATGGTAAACGTTATTTTTTAAATTTTGTGAAAACTCAACGGTTTGACACATGCCCTAAAAATTATTTTACTCAGAATTTTGTTGCTGAATTCAATAAAAATAATGTTTAGGTGAAGAGGTGACATCTCACCCGTTTTCTCACCTCTTTTCTCACCTCTTTTTTCACAAGCGTTTTACATGAATTGTACGATGTATATTTGAGACTCTAAACAATTTCGTAGCTTCTATTTCTTCTTTTAGTACATCGAATGTTTTAACAATGCCGAAAGTCTCTTTATATTTCTTCTTGACGTCAGACAGAAGGAAATCTTCTGCTGTTGGATAATTTTTATTAAGAAATGTCAACATGTCCATTTTATCTTCTGCTGACTTTTCTGCTTCTTTCTTTAAGTCTGCATAGTCGTTTCTCATTCTTTCTATCTCTTTGACTGAGTAGTTATATTTCCTCATTGCTGCTTTACATTTAGAACATTGCGGGTTCATTTTTGCGTTATATTCTGAAACCTTACCTGCTAAAACAACTAAGGCGTCAATTGCTCTCTTCATCTCAAACATAGCGGGTCTTAGTTGTTCATTCCATACTTTGCCTCTTCTATCTTTATCTCTTATTTCCCAAACACATTCAGCAACTAATGAAACAAAGTTGTCGTAGGTCTTAAATTCTTCAGATTTATATATGTCAGAAATATTTTTTATAACCATGTCGCAATCTTTGTCCATAACTTTATGGTTGCAATGAAAACCAAGGAATTCATAATTTACTTTACGTATGAACTTCTTTATTTCTACCGAGTCAGTTGCTTTGACTTCAATTTCGTCAAATTCGGGAATGGTTAGTTTTTGTTGCTGAATTTCAGGCAATTTGGGTAAATGGTCAATAATGTCCTCCATTTCATAAAGATACTGTTCATTTGTTTCATCTTTCGCACTACAGTCTAAATTACTTGTTAAAAGTTCTTGCTTTATCTTCTGGATTTTTGTTTCGAAAGTATATGAAGAAGGAATAAAGCTTTTCATTTCTACTAACATTGACGTAGGATTCATGACTAACGAGTTTGGTGCTGTAGTTTGAATTGTTGTTGTGCCGATTGTTGAAATCATATCTTTTATACAAAATAAAAAAAATAAATAAAATAAAACTAACTTTATTTTTTCTGTCTTAAGGAAATTCATGAAAATTCATGAGGGTGAAAAAAACAGGTGAGAAAAACAGGTGAGATCTCACCTCTTCACCTAAAATATATTTTTGGTGTAAATTTATGACAAAAATAAATGGTACCATTAATAATACATGACTGTTCTCATTCATGTCTGATTTACATCCAACGAAAAAGTTTAGAAGAATTTTCTTATTCTTTCTGGCATGTTTTTGTCTTTCCAGTACTCCCGCTCTAATGGTCCCAGATGTGTTGGCTTCGACTCTCTCAAGTTCTTAGATGGTATAACATCTTCAACACCTCCTTCATATCTTACTTTATAAGTGTCATCGTTTATGTTATAGCCAAGTATTTCAATAACCACTCCTCGCTTTGCTTCGTCAATGGTTTCAGCAAGTTTGCCATTACTACTTTCGACTAATTTATGACGAGGGTAAAACGCAATAGAGTCGTCAGCAGCTTTTATAAGATATCCATTACCTTGCGTAGAGTCTACGATATAATAGTTTCTACTTAACCTTAAACGTTTCTTTGTCAACGGTTTGTCGTCAAGAACTACACGAACTTTTGTACCAGGAATGAGGGTAAATTGTGTTGAATTTCTGATATTTTGTGTTTGGCTTCGTTTCTTTTGTATATACTTTTCTTCTTGTTGTTGTGTCATTGAATTTGGTGTATGTCCTGTTGTAGAATGTGTTGAGGAATTATATACTTCGAGAAAGTGTTTCATTGTTTCTTCGGTAAAGTCTCGCTCTTGGTTTAAATCTCTGAGTGTTCTTATGAAGCGGTTTATGATGCCGAGTATGTTATGGTTATGGTCTTCAGTAGTGTAGTGAGTTATGTTATGCTTAATGAGAAAATCTGTGATTTCATTACTGAGGTAAGCACCGTCTTGGTCTGATGTTAAAGTACTTGGGCTATGTTCTGCTACAAACTTTTGTAAAACTCTTAACACTTCACGAGTTCCTTTATTTTTCATTATATACGCAAAAGCTTTGCGAGTGTTAACATTAATGAAGATGAGGAATGGTTTATGTCCTCCTTTTCTGCTTTGAATGAGAGTGTCAAATTGGTATGCGTCGGGAGTGTTGGAGTAAATTGGTAAAAAGTAGTCGTAAGGGTTTATTTTTGTTTGATGTACAACATTTTTGTCAAAGAACCTTTAACTTCAGCTCTGTTAGTAAATCCCAACTCTTTGCAGCTTCATTGAACTTCTTAAATGACCTCCATGGATGTTGTTCGATAACTTCTTTCAAGCTCATTTATGTAAAGTTAAAGATTTTAAACCAATCTCGTATCCAAGCGTGCATTGTTATATAAGGAGATATAATCTTTTCCATTACCTGCTGGTCTGTAATACCAGCTACAACATGTGTATGATTTCCTGCAGTTCCACAGAAAATACCCGTGCTAACATCTTTGGGGTCATCTGAGATATCATATCTGTTCATTCCCTGTCTATTCGAACCCGCTGCAAGATTTATATAACCTCTTTTTTTGTTAATTGAATGTGAATGGTTTCCTTCCACAGATGTTCTTCACTGAACCTATGCATATGTGAAGGAAGGTTTTCAATACCTATTTTCTTTGAACCTCCCATCTTCATTGACTGCGTATTAGTGTAGAATGGAAAACTGTCAACTATTTCATACCATCTACCACCAAATAAAGTGTTTGGATTTATTGGATTCATAGACGTATAAACAGCTCCTATAGGATATATTAAATCATATATGCTCATAACTCTATAAACATATTCTAAAGAACTTATGTCATTAAATACCATTTGGAATGTATCTCCCGGATGAAATGTTGCATTTGTTCCACTTTTATAATGTAATGTTAGTTCAATAGAATTATCCAAGAAAAATTCAAAAGTATCTGGTTGAAGACCTCTAACAAATTCAAATGGAGTTGCTGGTTCACCATTTATAATTTCTGTTGTAAATGTCATTGTATCTGGTTTCGAAAATTTCTTTGTTAGTTCTGCATCCACATAAGTTTTGTCTGCTTTCTTATCTAACATTGCTGGTAGTTCATGTGCTTCAAAGTTTCTGGCATGACCTTCAATGTTCCTGTAACTCTTATCTAAATTGTTAAGAGTATCTTTTACGCTTGTACTTGGATTCTCTAAAGGTGCACTTGAACCAAGGTCAAAGTTCAATATTATGTCGTCTGCTCTAACAGTAGTGAAGGATTTATGTGTATGGTTCTTGTCGGCTTTACTGTCTAAAGAAGTTTGAAGTTCATTTATATCGGAGATATTGTGTTTATGAGATCTCAAAACTTTGTTCGTTGCTTCAAGTTCATCTTTGTCAGCTTTACTTTTAATAGCATCTTCAAACGTTATTTTTGACTTAACTCTCAAAGTAAATCTTGGTTCAACTAATACACCGTTAACATTGAAAGTAGAGGCATAAATTTCAGCGTTATAACCAAATGATTGTGGTGCTATACCTGTGTCATACTGTACAGTACAGTGTATGTCATAACCTTTAGCACGAATGAATTTATATCTTCTTTCATTAACATTTTTCGTCTTCACTTCTTCACTTCGTGTTAAATATCCATGGTAGTCCGTTATAATCTGTTCATCTGAAGTTATATAATGAACATGGTTCTTGTCCGCTTTACTATTTAATGTAGCTTGAAGTTCATTTATATCGGAGATATTGTGTTTATGAGATTTCAAAACTTTCTTCATTGCGTCAAGTTCATTTTTGTCCGCTTTACTATTTAATGTAGCTTGAAGTTCATTTATATCGGAGATATTGTGTTTATGTTCTTTATCTGCTTTTTCGGCTAATTTCTCTTCTATCTCATTTATTTCAAGTTCATGCCTACCACCACCTCCCGAAGAAGTATTTTTCTTCAGCTCTTGAAGAACGTCCACTTCGCCATCTTTGGTGTCAATAATGAGACTTTGAGTTAAAACCTTTCCTGTCTTAATGGATGTTTGTAAAACTTCTTCTTCACCGTGTTCGGGGTCATGGTCGTCATCATATCTTGTGAAATCAGAGATGTTGTCATACATTAAGCATATCTGTCTCAAAAGTTCTGCTATTTGAAACTGGAACGAAAGATATACAGAACTTTCATCATCTCCTAAAGTCAAGTCTGCTTTCTTAAGTATTTCTTGAATGTATGCAATGAGAACAGAGTACCTTGGAAAATATTCGAACAATATTTCATTAGCTGTTGGTTTTGGTGGTTCTTCTGGAGTTTCTGTTGTTTCAGTTCCTTCTGTAGGTTCTGTTGGAGTTTTTGCATCTCTTGACTTCAATGCTCTTGCTCTCAAAGACCTAAATGTTAGAGCACCAGGTTTTACAAAGGACTTTATAAATGCTTTAATAGTTCCTGGTAAGTTATTGTTAGCATTAAGTAAGTTCCTTATGCTTCCATCATGTACGTCCATAGCACTATGTAAAAAATCTATACTTTTCTTGTAGTCAGCAATAGACTGACTGTGATTTTTTAAAGATTTTCAATACCTTTAAGCCAATCTTCATGCATGTCTGATACTGAGCCAAGAATATCATTTGCTTCCTTTAGTGTACTTTGTGCTTCTCGTAAAGTATCCAATCCCGTACGTGCATTGTTTGCTATACGTCTTACAGTATCTATTTGACTCCTTGTTTCTTGCATCCAACCAGATAAAGTTTTAATAGTATCCGAACCATTTGAAATGAAGTTCAAAGCATTTTTAACGTCATCTAAAACTTGTTCACCAAGTACTGCCCATATCTTTCCGATTTGGTATTGAAGAACTCCATATGAAGCAGCTGTTAAACCAGTATTTATAAGGTCCCATATCCATGATTTAGCAGTTTTTCCATCCTTTCCATCTACACCATCCAAACCGTTCTCGCCTTGAGGTCCTTGAATTCCTTGAGGTCCTTGTATTCCTTGAATTCCTTGAATTCCTTGTGGTCCTTGAGGTCCGGTGTCACCCTTCTCTCCTTTCAGTTCATCTTTATGTTCGTTATAATATTCTAATGTCATAAGGTGTACATCATTACTGCTACCAGCAACGCCGAGAATTTGTTTCTCATTCATGACTAAATTCTTTAGGCATTTAATGTTGTCGTCAAATCGAAAGCTCTTTAACAATTCAATGAGAACATTCAGTACTTTCACTAATGAGGCATCTACTGTAGAATTTATATATTGCACCGTTCCATCATTTATGATAGGAACTTTACTTATTGTAATGAATGGGTCATAAGTGTTAAAAGTATCGAAATCAATGACTTTTTTAGTCTTTCCATCGTCAATGACTAAATCATTGCCTTCAATGGTTAAAGTTGAGTTTTCGTTTACTAGTTCATGTGCTCTTCTTGCTTCATTTGTTTCATACGCATATGCAGCAATAGTCATATTTTAATGAGAATAAAATGTTGTTCTATTTGCAAAGTACAGACCCAAACGAATACGGGACAGTAAAGCTACAAACAAACTTAGGTCTTCAGAATGAAGCGCTTGCTTTCAGAGTTGTTGACTTCAATACTATCGCAACTTTTGTCATAACAGATGAAACAGATTTCATAGAGATTGAAATAGATG